AATATCTAGCTCCACTGGACAATGTCCGTGTGGTGACCATCTGGAAAATAAACGATTATGCTGAGATCACGTGACGATTCGCCTCTGATATTTACCGGGGAGCTAATTTGCGTCTTTTTTGCACGATTTACTTAACAGAGAGATATCTTTTCCTGGTTCGTTTGTATTTTTTTAGCCGACCACGCCTGGTAAATATATTTAGAGTGTCGAGTTCGAGATAAAGTAACACGCGGGTCATCATTATCCTTAACATGTATCTCCCTCAAATTACAAAATGGGCGAAGATGATACACGGTATAGAAACGGAATTCTGCTTCAGCTGTTGTGTAAACGTATCATTAACCTTTTCTGCTTTTGAAAAAAACACTGTTTGTACATATTACATATACATATCAACGTGTGAGACTGCTTCGTTTATTTAAACGGTTTTTGTATATTTGTTTTGTGGGAATACTTATTATATATTCTTTAAAATTTCTATAAACTATTAATTTGTACTGATATCCCATATCATCCCAGGTGTTTTATCTTAAGTTTACTGTCAAGGAATTTCCCCACTTTCTTAAAATCGTCCATGTGTCGTTCTACTTTATAACATGCTGGAACTTCAATACGACTCACAGATGCCTGAGGACACTTTACCCAAATCTTAAACCACTTTGCCGTTGAATCCAATTGAAGGAAATCCGACATCGATCTGTAGTTTGCAGGTTTACCATTCACAGAATGAACAAAACATTTAAGATGTTTAATCTTCTTTGGCACGAGTCCTATCTTAAAAGAATTGTCGTTTTTAGACAAACCCTGAAATTGTATTTCTGCGTGCAATCTAAAAACATATCTCCCACCATGACTGTAAAGTACAACTAGTGACTTGTGACCCCCGGTCTATGAAACTTGTTACCCATCAACGTTCTTGTGACACCATTGTGTATACTGATTTTTAACGTGAATATCTATTATCATGCGATATATGTCTTCATCAAAGGTAAATTCAGTCGATGCCAAAACTTGATATCTTTCTGACAGTCTGAAGCATTGGTCCTGAGCATGGGAGGCATCATACCTAGTGAAATATAGGGAACAAGATGCTGAAGCTGTTCTTGTATCCATATTCAATCATAATCTGTTTATTGAACTGGTTATGCTAATTCATATGACGTTAAACGTACATGAGTGATTGATTTGTTGAGTAATTCATTGATTTGTCAATTGAGTAGTTGATCTGTTTCAATTGATTGGTCAAGTAATTGATTGGTCGAGTAATTGATTGGTCGAGTAATTGTTGGGTGGAGTAATTGTTTAGTTTTTGGTTGCTTAAGTGAGTGAGGCTAGGACCAGGACACCTCCGTCTGATATTTTTGTGATAGTTTCCTTTAGGTAAAGCTAGTACCAGGACACATTACTTCAGTAGATTCGTGATAGTTTTCTTTACGTTAAGCTACCAGTACAAGAACACCTCCGTATTGTAGGTCTGTGACAGTTTCCCAGAGGTAAAGTCAGTACCAGGACACCTCCGTATTGTAGGTCTGCGATAGTTACCCAAAGGTAAAGTCAGTACCAGGACACCTCCGTATTGTGGGACTGCGACAGTTACCCAAAGGTAAAGTCAGTACCAGGACACCTCCGTATTGTAGGTCTGTGACAGTTTCCCAAAGGTAAAGTCAGTACCAGGACACCTCCGTATTGTAGGTCTGCGACAGTTACCCAAAGGTAAAGTCAGTACCAGGACACCTCCGTATTGTAGGACTGCGACAGTTACCCAAAGGTAAAGTTAGTACATTGTTAAATTATTCAGTTTGCTGTCTTCTAAGAATTATACAGTTTACGAACATTTTAACTTGAGATATCTTTTAAATGAATTGAAGAAAAAAGGGATTACAAACAAACTAGACCGTAACAAGAAAAGTTGGTCAATTTTTCATAATTTTTTAAGATTTATTATGGAATTAATGTCATCCTTATTTTCCGAAAGACAAATGGTTATGAATCTAGTATTATTTTCAGAAAGAAAATCGCATCTGTATTTTCAAAACTTCAGAGGTAGAAAGAAATCCTGACGCACTGTAGGGGCGGTCGGGTAGCCTAGTGGTTAAAGCGTTTGCTCGTCACGCCGAAGACCCGGGGTCGATTCCCGACATGGGTACAATGTGTGAAGCCCATTTCAGGTGTCCCCCGCCGTGATATTGCTGGAATATTGCTAAAAAACCATACTAACTCACTCACTGACGCACTGTAACGTGACAATTCTATATAAGGCTGCCCCATACGGATCGCCTTCTGCTACTGTTACCAACTTGCTCCACTATAAGGGTTTTTCTCCATGGTTGAAAACGTACTAGCATAAACAGAGACAGCAAATAATCAGAGCCAGACAACACGCCTACATGTATGTCGCATAGACACATGAGTGAGTGAGTGAGTGAGTTGGATTTAACGCCGCTTTTAACAGTATTCCAGTTATATCACGGCGTGTCAGCTTAACGTGGGAGGAAAGCCCGAAGTGATGCAGGTCTCAGGCGTTTACAACTTCGGTGAAACCCACGAGCACGGGTATTGTGCTGACAAACCTAGAAACATAATCGGGGCGAACCAGGTTTCTGGCGTGCCCAAGGGACGCAATTCTGCACAGCAAATCGCGGCGCCTTAGACGACTGGGCCACCCGTGTCCCCATATAGACACATGATAAACTATAGTTGTCTCTGTATTTCAGTCACCAACAAATACGACCACAAGACCTTTTCCAGCTACACAGACTCAAAGGAATAGTTTCGTATTATTTAAATGCTCATCTACTGGTGTGTCCGGAAATTATGAATATTCAAGAGCAAAGGAAGTTCATTCTAGATGTCCTCATTCTTCTTAAAGTTATTTAATATGTGTACATATGGGCGTCAAGACAGTCCCATTGTTCTTTTCAGGGATACTTAGCTGTACAGAGTTACATTCCATATTTTTACCAGGAACCGCTGGCCCCGATTATCGCATACCCGACTGTGAAAACGCCACAGTTTGAAAGGGGCAGTCAGCTTCTGTGACTTTCAGATTATATACAGAGGTCATATTTGTACCAGTAAAATGATAATATGTCATAGAAGGGCGTGAACAACATCTCAAATGCGCACCGTCTCCATTCCAAACATATACCCGAACTCATTGTTCGCTGCAATAATGTGTAATCAAATATGAAGCTCATTTCCTTTTCTCTTGAAACACAAAGAGAAACATCACGTAAAAGCATTTCCGAGAAACCTTGATGAAGGTATTCAAAACTATTTTAAGAATACTACAGCTTCACACATTGTACCCTCTATAGGGAATCGAACCCGTGACAAGCAAACACTATAACCACAAGGCTAACCCACCGCCCCACTGTGGAAGGTGAATGCCTTAATAGGTACATATTTGTTGCAAGTTTTAACATTGTAACGTACCATTAAAAATGAAAGTACGCGATTACTGTGCATTTTATTTTTTCTGGCCCATCCGTTTTCTCTTCCTTGCAAGGAATGTCTCCACTTTTAGAAAATGCTTAATATGCTTTCCAACTTTAGAACATTGTAGAACTTCAATGCGGATCAAAGAAGAACGGCCACATAGCCACCACATTTTAACATACCTACCTGCTTCAGGGAATTGAACAAGCTGATATTTTTTGTAATTTCCCGGATTTTCGTTCACAGAAACGAGGAAACTTACCAAAATTCCGTTCTTCACATCTAGAATTAAACCAATTTTCACAGAATTTTTTTTTTTCAAACCAAGAATCCTGAAACTACCCTTGTCACTGATGACATAATAATGGCCTTCATCAATTAGAAGGAATGTTTTTGCCTCCGTGTCAGCAAGGCTATTGATCCGAAACTTGCTACCTATGCTTACACACCAAAGGTTTTGCTTAACCTCAATTCTTTTTGGGGATAACTTAATGCGAACGTCAACCACCGTGCGATAAATATCCTCATCAAAATTCATTTCTTTTGATGTTATAATTTGAAAATCTTTATCCATAGGATTCTGACACTCAGGAACATCAGTCCGGAGCATAGGAGGAATCAAACCTAGTTAAATAGAAGTAAAGACATTTTGAAGGTTTTACTGTATCCATATTAGATCATAATCTGTTTAATAAAGTAACTGATCTTGTTATGTTAATTTTTAAGGTGTTAAACATTACAAGGGTAAGTGAGTGAGGTTGTTTTTCTGGAGATGTGGAACTCGAATCGAAGAAATCAATGAAATTATGTCAACTCTTTAGCAGTAGATAGTCAGCAGTCCTCATAGTATTATCGTTTCACAGCAGTGTCGGTGGTCAAGCGCTACGCAATAGGAACATCCATCCGTACTTTCAACAATGTGTAAGATAAAAGATCCGTGAGTCTATTATATTCGAAATGTCTGCATCATGACGTCTGCGTGTGTATTATAATGTAAGTTTGTTGTTAACACCACACAGTATTCCAGCATACACATCAATATTTAAGCACACTCAGCAGTATTCAAGCACACTCAGCAGTATTCAAGCACACTCAGCAGTATTCCAGTACACTCAGCAGTATTCCAGTTCACTCAGCAGTATTCCAGCACACTCAGCAGTATTCCAGCACACTCAGCAGTATTCCAGTACACTCAGCAGTATTCCAGTACACTCAGCAGTATTCAAGCACACTCAGCAGTATTCCAGTACACTCCGCAGTATTCCAGTACACTCAGCAGTATTCCAGTACACTCAGCAGTATATCGCGTTAGTGCAGTATTTAAGGTACTATCGCGTTGTGCACACTAGGATATGATCGTATCCTATGGTAAGGTTAGTATCGTGGTACTCTCTCTCTCTCTCTCTCTCTCTCTCTCTCTCTCTCTCTCTCTCTCTCTCTCTCTCTCTCTCTCTCTCTCTCTCTCTCTCTCTCTCTCTCTCTCTCTCTCTCTCTCTCTCTCTCTCTCTCCCACGCCTAACCCTGTTCCCAAGGACACAGATGATGTGAGATGCTTAACTTACAAATTAGACCAGGTATGGCAATGCTCTTCTCCGTGCTGGTAACCATATGGTCGAGACCAATTGGTGTTCCTGTAGTCATTCCAACCTTATCAACCATCCCGTATGAAACACACAATTCCTTCTTACTGCGCCCTTGGAGACATCGCTTACCCTTGGGACAAGAACCATCGCAGAATGCCTACCACAGTAAAACGTACAACGTCAAGTTTTTGTTGATTAAATCACAAGAGTTTGAGGAAAATATCAACCATGTCAGTGGCATCAACGACGTTCAACTATGGAGACTCGTTGGCTGATTGCAATATTACATGGTGCAATGGTTATCAAGATTGCAAAACGAATGAGAGTGTTGAGACGGATTGGTACCCAGAAAATCTACAAGTAGGCTATTTCCTGCGTATGAAGCCTTTTCCTCATAATCATTTCCCAAATTAAAAATAACATGCCACTCGGCATGGCAACAAAAATACTGTATCTTATACATATTCCGTTTGATAACAACTTCAATTTAGGTGCTTTTTCTTCCATTCTGCCAATAGGGCGGATTCAGTTGTCATGGAAGCACACCCTCCGCTTTATCATGATGTCATTTCATCATGACGTCATGATCATTCCAGTCCAGTAGGTCTGACACCATAGAATTCAAACATTTGAAAACCGCTATTTAATTGCATTTTATATTCACTAACAAATCTCAAAACACAATATGTATTATCTCCCCATGGTACCCTAAGACAATTGATAAGGTCTTCGATGCCACATCCCCTAACGATATGGTGTCATGTACATATTGATTTCTATACATACATATAGTTCCTTCAATCAAAATTACCCTCACTTGCTTTCACATAAGCTGCATGTCAAACCGTACCTGGTCTGTCGGCCGCAGTATACTGCCGGTTGAACTTGGAGGAATGCTTCCATCATGGAGGAGATCACAACGTAGATGTTCTGAGTCGTAGACGATGAAGTCGCAGAATCCGTACACGCTACACTTCGCGAGGCATTGCTTAATGGCAACTGAATCAAACTGTTCAATATTTTCTTCCAGAATAGATCCAGACCCCGTCGTGCCCATGACGAGGTGACTTAGCACAGTGATCAGACATAGGTTATAAAGAAAACACATGATCTTCCCAAAGGCACCTAATGCCTGAAAGAAACCAGATCTGCGAAAAATCCTTTCTTATCATAACAGAAAAAAGTCGTAAAATGTAAATAATTGTGCGAGAACCTGTCTTCTATATAAAAATAATGCAGTTTACTAACGAATGGAAGCAATCGAAATTCAACATCAAATATCATGTTCCATTACAATGAATTGAAAGAAATAAAAGATCACAAACAAATGAAAAAGAACATATATTTCATAAATATTATGTACCATTGCATAATTAATGTTTTCATTATTTTCAGTTAGAGAATCTGTTCTGAAGCTCGTATTTTAACCAAAGAACATCGCATATCAGAAGCAGAAGTTTTGGACGCACTGTAACGTATATAGTTATATGCCTATGGATCGCCTTCTACTAGTGTTTCTAGGATTGATATGGTTAAAAACGAACCTTCATCGATAGAACATAATCAGAGATGGATTATAGCGAACACAACCTACCTGTTTGTCGCGTAGACACATGATTACAAACTATAGCTGTCTCTGTCTTTGAGTCACACATGAGACCTTTTCCAACTACACATACCTAAAGGAATAATGTTGCACTATTTATATGTTCATCAACAAGAGTGTCTGGAAATTGTCAATATTCATGAATGAAGGAAGTTCACTCTAGATGTCCTCATTCTTCCTTAGGTTATTTGATATTTGTATTGAGTTCCTGAGTCTTCTAATATTTACCCGTATATAAATAATGAGGACTCTCTGAATATAATCCGACATAACCTCGAACAAAGTCCATTTTATTAACGGGGTGGTTAAGTTTGGTATTTCGCGGATATTTTAACGTCGATTATCTGTACCTTTTCGCCCAATATCGATTGTCATACCTCTCCAATTTTGGGTATCGTTTGTACATTGCGTTTATGTACTTTGCCCAGCTACATCTATAGGGAACTACTCACTAGACAATTCCCCCTCAAAAATAACGTCGTCCAATTTACGACGTCATCAAGCATGTTCAAATCCCCAGAAATGACGTCAGGATAGAACAATGTTCAATGATAAATAAACCAAGCTTTGTTTTTCATCGTTCTTTGCGATTATCGCGTAGCTATCTTATATTACCTAACAATATGGATGGAACATGAGAAAGGGACAGTCACCTTCCTTGGCATTAAGATTACACAGTGATCAAATGTGTACCAATAAAATTATCATATCTGATAGGGGTGTGCGGAGAACATCTCAACTGCGCAACACTAAACGTTTCACCTCCCCAATTCTTTGTGATGGCGCCATATATATCATACCCTTATCTCTGTGTGCGTGTGCGTGTGCGTGTGCGTGCGGGCGTGCTTGTGTGTGAGAGTTCTACCATGCCTCAGTTTAACGTGGATATCCCACTCAGTAGCCGTCCAGGGCTCGTTTCACCCCTTAATGCCGCGTGCCAGATACCCGGACGGACAGGCGGACGGGCAGACAGACAGACAGAGAATTTATTCCAGTCTTACCTTGTCAAATATAACAAAATACGATTTGATAAAAAACTGAGCCACTCCACACGGAGTCAATAATATAAAAGACAGGCAAGATAAAATACCTTAAGACTTGAGCTGCGATAGAAAATATCGTTCCTAAAGTCCAATATCATTTTATAGGTATGGGCACTAATATAATGTAGGGCATGACAAAATATTACACGCTTAGGCTGCATCTGTAGCGTACATAAAAAACATCCCAACATTCGACAGTTTTCTTCAACAGATATTCCCTGAAGTCGACATGTAAAGGACTGTGTATCAACACGTGCAACTCATATGCTGCTGCATTTCGACAGTGAAAACAGGTTTTCTCTGCTTGTGGGGTGTTACAATAACGACCAGTTTCAGCATAGATAGGGACAACTCCGCATCGGGACATAGATCACGCGCTTGATGTATGATTCTGTTCCCAATGTTCTCTTCAATGTGTTGTACACACGCAGCTTGTTTCCTCCACTTCCTATTGCGCCCTCCGGTCGATAAATCGATATCTTGTCTTCCAAAATTCAACAAAATGCTTATCATCTGCGTTCCCGACAGAAGATACAGTCTGTTTAATTTAATTACCTTTCGAAATGTTAGACACTTATTCAAGATCAAGAGAGCGAGTAATTTGTCTCTAAATCTGAATGCCCAATGTCGCGTTTCGAACTTTGAAATACTCTGTACGCTAAGCTGTTATCACTTAGGCAGTTGAGTTTCATGTACAGTCTTGAAACACCTCCTCTCCCCTCCCTGAAATGAGGTTAAGCGTCGCGTTCAAGATTATTGCACTTACACAGCGACGTGCGTGTGTGCACTTATATAGCGACGTGCGTGTGTGTGTTTGTGTGTGTGTGTGTGTGTGTGTGTGTGTGTGTGTGTGTGTGCTATCCCACTGAGATACCATGCCGCAAGCTAACATGAATACCCCACTCAGACACAGTATACTCACTACAAGCCGGCCAGTCCTTGTTTTAGCCCCTTAATGCCGAGTGCCAGGCAGGGAAACAACAAGTATCATATTTTAACGTCGTTTTGTATGACGCGGCCGAGCATCGTATAGCTCTGGTTTGAATGTCATTAATTTGCTGTATGTTCCCAAGCTCGCAGATACATACTCTACTGTTGACCACGCCATGACGTCACAGTTTGGTACAGATAATGTTGCTCATCAAACCTATGGTCTTGAACGGGGTGGTCGGGTAGTATAGTGGTTAAAGCAGTCGCTCGTCACGCCGAAGACCCGGGGTCGATTCCCGACATGGGCACAATGTGTGAAGCCCATTTCTGGTGTCCCCCGTCGCGATATTGCTGGAATATTGCTAAAAAAAAGCGGCGTAAAACCATACTCACTCAATGTGGTCTTGAACCTGGATAATAAAGGACTCAGTGCTCTACTAGCCGTACTCACTACTGCCTATTCCACTACTCACTACTACGTTAACCATCGTGGCTATCCATTGCTTACACCCCCACTCGATTATACACTGGCTGGAATTTTGTTGACGTTTGTTGATGTACACTGAGGGGCATGAGAAAGTATTTAGAGGTTTTTTTTAATGGAATTGACAATTGAAAGAACCATTGTTAAATTTGATTATAGTATTACCTATTTAACGCACATTCCTGCAACAGTCTGTAAAAAGTAATCTGTGGCTGGGTAATTGAGTGTAAAAATAAATTTGTTCAAAGCAGGCTTTGGAAAGGAATGAATTTGCAACCACTTCACCCAATCCACGTTTAAAATGTAAATTTGTTCCGAAGAAAGCAAATATATATTTTGTCAAAGATAAGATGTCTAAGATACCCATCATCAGTTGTGAGTGAGTGAGTGAGTTGGGTTTAACGCCGCTTTTAACAGTATTCCAGTTATATCGCGGCGTGTCAGCCTCACGTGGAATGAAAGACCAAAGTGATGCAGGCCTCTGACGTTTACCACTTCGGTGAAACCCATGAGCACGGTTATGGTGCTGACAAACCTAGAAACATAATCATAATCGGGCGAACCGGGATTTGAACCCGCAATCATAGGTTTCTGACGTGCCCAAGGGACGCAACTCTTCACAGCGAATCGCGGCCCCTTGGAAGACTGGGCCACCCTAGCCCCCTTCGCCAGTTGTGTATGATGCGGAAAGAAAATTATTCTTTTTAATAAAATGATATTTTTTAAAAATATAATAATGTTGAAGTATTCAACCAGTACAGTTCATTTTTTAGATATAATATCGCTAACATAAGATATTTTCGACTGAAAATCCAAAGTGTAATGAAATCACATGAGAGGTATAGTTTCTTTTCCTCTTCAGTTTATTTTAATAAATTTTAGTTTGCTGACAACCAAATGACATTTACTGGTAACCTCATATCGCGTGAATGTCAAGACATCAGACAAAGACTCTTGACCCTGATATTATTTGACAGTTTTGACACAAACTATTGGTTAATAATTCTTCGTGTCGTTCTGGTACTATAGAAAGGAATACTGAAGGAAATTTAAGATTCAGTTTATATGTGTGTCTTGTTCTTGGCCTTTTGAGCCCATGTAAATAATTGTTATTAATGCACTGCCTTTTCGGTCGTCAATAAATACTGTAAAATCACACGATAGTTGTCTTGCCTTACTGGTGGTATCACGTGGTCATCTCAGATTCATAACACATAATTTTTAGAAACACCGAACACGTCCAGTCAGCGGTTTATATTTTATATTTTCCTACAGGCTCGGGATACATTACTGTTTTCAACATTTTCGGGAACAGATTGTTTTTCCACCTCCCGATCCCTCAGAATATCAAACGACAACGCGACAATGCGACATTATCAAAATGTCGCATTGTTGCGTTGTCGCACATTTTAACGCCTTTTTCTACACATTTTTTATGGGGCGACAACGCGACATATTTTGACCTTGAAAAATGTCGCGAGGTCGCATTGTCGATTTTACATGTCGACCACGATACAATGTGTATGACAAGTATATATCGATTAAGAAGTATATACGTGGCGTTTTAAAAAAATGTATGTGAAGACTATGGAAGTTTCGTGACAAAAATGTCTAATTCACAAACACTCTGTCACTTTTGAAAAAAGTATTTTTTCCAGAACAAAAATGGGAAAAAATAGTTTTTCTCGTCAAGTTTACCAAAGAACGTGCTCGCTGGACATGATAGATGTCCTGGGAAAATATGTTGCGAAAAAACCCATAGAATGACATTTCATGGTTTCAAGCTGAGGCCGTAAGCAATTTCCTGTCACTTCGAAATATACGGTAGCAACTTTGTCATTTTGAAAAGAAATATCACATTTCCTGGTATATGATTATTGAAAGTAGAATAGGCCTTACCTTTGAAGAACCTCCTCACATCAACATGTGCAGATACAGTATCCTAAGTAGTTGATGTGTAATTCATAATCATTTAAATGAACATTAAAGATGAC